GGGGCAGCGGTCAGCACGGTGGTCACGGGGGCAGCGGTCAGCACCGGGGCAGCGGTCAGCACGATGGTCATAGTGAGGCAGGTCCCCCCAGCGGGTCAGCGGTCAGCACGGTGGTCACGGGGCAGCCCCCAGCTGTCCAGCCCGTGGAGAGCGGCCGTGCTGCAGTCCCGACCGCGGGTGGTTGGAGGCCGTGACTGGTGGGGGAGGTCACCTGCCCGGAGAGGCGCGCTGACCGCTGTCCCTCGCAGGCCGCCATGGCGTCGGATGAAGGCAAGCTTTTCGTGGGAGGCCTGAGCTTCGACACGAACGAGCAGTCGCTGGAGCAGGTGTTCTCCAAGTACGGACAGATCTCGGAAGGTAACCGCGCGGGCCGGGCCGGGGTGCTGCGGGCGCTGTCCAGTCGGCGCGCTGACCGGCGTCCCTCTGCGCAGTGGTCGTGGTGAAAGATCGGGAAACGCAGCGGTCACGAGGCTTTGGGTTTGTGACCTTCGAGAACATCGACGACGCCAAGGACGCCATGATGGCCATGAACGGGAAGGTGAGGGGCAGGCGGGGGCCGAGCGCAGGGCGGGCAGCGGACGAGGGCCTCACCCCCGTGTCCTCTCGTCCAGTCTGTAGACGGCCGGCAGATTCGAGTGGACCAGGCCGGCAAGTCTTCCGACAACCGCTCCCGGGGCTACCGCGGCGGGTCAGCTGGCGGCCGGGGCTTCTTCCGCGGGGGCCGGGGCCGGGGCCGCGGGTTCTCCAGAGGTGAGTGGTCCTGGGGGCCTGGACAGCGCAGGCCGTGGGGGGACCAGCCCTGACCCCGCCCGTTCCCGTCCGCAGGAGGCGGGGATCGCGGCTACGGGGGCAGCCGGTTCGACTCCCGGAGCGGAGGTTACGGCGGGTCCAGAGACTATTACAGCAGGTGAGGGCTGTGCGGCGGCCACTGGGGTCCCGAGGGGGACGATGTGGGAACTGGGGTCCCGAGGGGGACGGTGCGGCCACTGGGGGTCCCGACGGGGACGATGTGGGAACTGGGGGTCCTGAAGGTGGGGCTGTGGGCACTGGGGGTCCCGAGGGGGACGGTGCGGCCATTGGGGGTCCCGACGGGGACGATGTGGGAACTGGGGGTCCTGAAGGTGGGGCTGTGGGCACTGGGGGTCCCGAGCGGGAGGCTGCCCAGCACTGGCCCCGAGCGGCTTGTCTGTCCTGCAGCCGGAGTCAGGGCGGCGGCTACGGGGACCGGAGCTCGGGCGGGTCTTACAGGGACAGCTACGACAGCTACGGTAAGTGTGGCCCCGAGGGACCTGCCGGGGCTGAGGCGGGGCCGGGAGCCTCCACGACCTCTGGCTTTGGCGGGCGCCACGCTCGGACCTCGGCTCGGGGTGCCCGTCACAGGCGCTGCCCGTCCCCCCAGCGCAGCAGACCGGACTGACGTAGGGAAGGGCAGTGAGTGCGGCCGAGGTCCGCACGTGCGTGTGGCCCGCCGCCGGGGGGTTGGTGCCCGGCCGCCGTCCAGGGCCGCGGGGTGCGCGCGCCGGGTGCTGCTTCGTGCCTTTACACTCTGCCTGCTTCTTGTTCTCAGCTACACACAACGAGTAAAAACCTCCTGCTCAAGATCGTCCTTCCAATGGCCGTATATTTAAAGATTTTGGGAGCTTCGCTGAATCGTTAATGTGTAGTGGACACACCTGTCTTTCCACTTTTGTAGTCCTTTCTGTTCGGTCTTGTCGCGCAGCCTGACCGCCTCCGCCCTGGCGGGGCTGCGAGGGCGCCGGGAGGTTTAACCCGCCGCCGCCTCCCGTCGCCTCTCGTCACGAGCCATGAGTTCTGTTTTTTGGAAACGGTCGGGGGTTGTGGGTGTCTTTTTTGGGAGTCGTGTGGCCGTTTTTTTCTTTTTTTACAAACCCTTTTTTGGCGTGGGGGCCTCGGCGCCCTTCCTGAGCCCCGGAAAGGCCCGGGGTCCGCTCTGTGCCGGAGCTGAACGAGCCGGGGCTTTTCCCCACCTCGGCGATGGTCAGGGCGGCAGGGTAGGCAGCGGGGTGCGGCCCAGGCCGGGGGGCTCGCTGGCCGGAAACGCCTGCGGTAGACTCAGACGGCTCCGAGAGCTTCTCGAAAATGTTTATTTATATTGTCCTTTTTTACTGGAAGACGTTTGCATTCTCCATTGATGTTGTATTTGAAGTGGTTGAGGAATTCTTGTACCCAGTTCTGGCTTCACGAAGCCGATTAAAAGACCGTCTGAAACCAACCTTGCTCTCACACGCCCTTCATTCACAACCCACGGGCCGGAGGCCAGGACGGTGCAGGGAGCTAGCCCAGGGGAGCCCCCGACTGACCGCCGACCGCCAGGTTCAGCTAGGCCCGGTGGCGGGGCGACGGGCGCGGGCAGCCCCGGGGCTCTCGGCGGCGCGGCCGGAGGGCCCGGAGGGCTGGGCAGCTTGGCGGGCCGGACGCTGACGGACACGGACGGGCCCCCGATGCGGGAGCGTGGGTAGCTAGCCAGCCGCTGCGGGACGAGTTCTGCGCTCTCTGCTAGCCTATGGGAGCTGCAGCCCCTCGGAGGACAGACGTCCAGCAGCCCCTCTGATGGAAGCGGCCTCCCTGGCTAGCTCGTAGGAGGAAATAGCCCTGTAACGCGAGGTAACTGCTTTTGCTCCTGTCCCTGCTGTCGAGCGCTCCCCCGGGGAGTGTTCCTTGACCGGCTCTTGCTGCTGTCCACGGCTAAGCCTTTGCTCTGGACTCAGGCTGCCCGGCCCCCGACGGCCCTCTGCCTCCGGCCAGCCGGGCGGCCTGGGCACGCGGCGCCTGTCCCCGCGCTGTGACCCGGACGCAGGATTGGAGACCAGGGGACGCCCGCCCCGCCTCGGTCACTCTGACCGGAGCGGCCTCTCCGGCCTGGGCTGAGGGCCCCCACCAGATCCTCCCCAGAGCCCCCCGTGACCTCGTCCCCGCGGCCGCGGCTCAGAGGCACGAGCCGGGTGGCCGGCTAGGACGGCGCACCTGTGACCGAGGGGCCTGGTGGCTAGCCTGGAGACCCTCGTGGGAGCCGTGGGGGGCCTGGGAGGGGGGCAGCGGCCGCTCGGCTGCACGGAGCCCTCACGCCGGTTTGCCTTGGCAGGTTGAAGGGGAACCAGCCGGCGTCCAGGATGAGAGCCAGGGGTCCAGCCGCAGGAGGACACGCCGGGCCGCTTCCAGGGAGGCAGAGCCTGTGAGTGCAGGGCCGGGAGCACGGGCCCCGCTGGCCGCTCCCTCGCTGGCCGCTCCCTCGCTGGCCGGCCTCGGGCCACGCGTCTCCTCAGCCTCTCGCTTCTCTGCAGGTGCTGCCGCGTGGACGGCGTCCGCCCCCACTGTCCCTGGACAGGCCTGGGCTCAGTGGCTCGAGCTGGGGTGGCACTTGGAGGCAATAAAAGATGGACTGCGCTGCCATTTCTTGTGTGTCTGGTTGAGGGGCGGGAGGGAGACCCTGGGTCACAGACGGCAGTGGGTGGGGGCCTCCAGTGGACGCACCTCCAGCCAGGAGGATGGCTGCGGCCCGGACCCACTGACCCCACTGGAACGGGGTGCGGGTGAGCCCAGAGTTCCAGCAGAGGTGGGCCTCCTTCCACTGGCCGCCTGAGGATGGACACGGTGCCCTGCGAGTCGGCCTCCCTTCAGACGCGAAGCCAGAGTCCTGGTACTGAGGGTCCTGTGTGGCCCAGCCCAGGCTCTGGCCTGCGCACAAACCTGCCAGCTGGTGGGGTCCCTCCGCCGAACCCCACAAATGTGAGCCCCAGCCCTGGTCTCAGCCCGGTACTCTGGGCAGGGCCAAGACCTTGGCCACTGTGCCCGCCCCTGGGGGACGCTCCATCCTGGACGGGGCTGACCATGGCCACTGTGTCCTGCCCCGAGGTACCCTCCATCCTGGACAGGATTGACCCTGGTCTGGGGGACGCTCCATGCTGGACGGGGCTGACCATGGCCACTGTGTCAGCCCGAGGTACCCTCCACCCTGGTGAGATGGACCCTCCGTCCTGGACGGGCCTGACCCTGGTCTGGGGGACACTCCGTCCTGGGCGGGGCTGACCCAGCTGTGATGGACACTCCATCCTGGACGGGCCTGACCC